CTAGTCGACGAAAATCACAAGAACTCAGTTGTACAAAGAAACCAACAAAAAGAATTAATGTCATTTCTGTTCTTTTTCATATTCAATGTGATATTAAATTAATTGATAAAAATATTATTTTTGGTGATATTGCCCAATTTAATGAAGATTCAAATGAACAAAAAGTTTTATTTGATTTAAATGCCTGTTTTCAAATTGAATCTATTCAAGAACAAGAATCATTACAAATAATTAAAATGAATCTTTCAAATGAAGGACAAAAAATTATGAAAGATTTTATTGAATTAATAAAAGAAGACACAGAAGAATTAAGTGTTTCAATTATTTTTGGAAGATTATTACTCAATTTAGATCAATATGACAAAGCACTTAAATATTTTCAACGATTATTAAATGATTCAAATGATGAAGATCAAGCTTGGATTGAATTTAATATTGGTCGAGCTTTTGACTTTAAAGGTGAGTGGAGTGATGCTCGAAAATATTATGATCGTGCATATGAGCGAATGATGAATAATAAACCAACACGACTCAAAGATTCTACTCATGCTCTCAACAACATTGGTGCTATTCTCTCTGATCGAAGAAAGTACAGTAGTGCTCTCAACTATTATCAACGAGCACTGGAAATTCAAGAGAAACTTTATCCATCTGGTCATCTTGTTAGTGCTACAAGCCTCAACAACATTGGTGTTATTCTTTATCGACAAGAAAAGTACGATAAAGCTCTCGATTATTATAAACGAGCATTGAAAATTCAAGAAAAATTATATCCATCTGGTCATGTCTACATTGCTCATAGCCTCAACAACATGGGTGTTGTTCTCTATCAACAAGGAAAGTACGATGAAGCTCTCGATTATTATAAACGAGCATTGAAAATTCGAGAGAAATTTTATTCATCTGGTCATATCGATATTGGCTCTAGTTTGAATAATATTGGCATTTGTTATGAAAAACAGAAGAAGCAAAAAATGGCACTTGACTATTATCAGCATGCATTAACTATTTATGAGAAGTTTCTTTCTATTGACCATCCATTTCGACAGAAAATCGAGAATAACATTCGTCGACTTACTGAAAAGAACTAAACTTATTAAAGGACACAGTAAAGAAAAAAAAATTGTGTTTCAGCATTCGAACGTTTCTTTGTAACTTTAAATATGGGGTGTGGGTGTGTATTTAGGTGTGGATAGACTGTGGCTGTACTAATGTGATTGAAGAGAAGACCTACACTCTCATCTGCATCCACCCACCCATATCCTTATTGGTTTTTTTCTAATAATAATCGGAGTCTTTTTAGATGAAACTCAACATCTCTGTGAAACAAATGTATATGCATTATTTCTCTTTATGAGTGCTATCTATCAATCAGTTTCGGAGATTGTAAAAGAACGACTGAGATTTAACCCAAAGAGTCTTTTAATTAATAAGCAGAAAAACATAAATATTTTTGTAAAAAGTTTATCTAATTAATTAAAATAATCTGTATTTCATAGTTTACGTTCGACTCAACTTTATTGTGATATTATAAGTTCATTAATCAGATATAAGGGACTTAAAAGAAAGAGAAATAGATACATATTTTCGCGATACATTAGTTTGATTATTGAAAAAACAGAAGAGAGGGAAATCTGTAAAAAGACAATAAAAGAGACAATAAAAATATAAGGTCATGGTTCTTATCTATACTACTTGTAAATTATGTTTGAGAAAAAGACGAAAGAATCTGTGATTGTTAAAATGCATTGTTTGCTGAATAAATTTTATATATATTCGAACTGTTTTATAGGGAACAAAGCAACTAACATTTCTTGATGACCTATACAAAAAAATCAATAACTAAAAAATATTGAGTCGAGTACTATGAAAACAATAAAAAAACCACGAACTATTTTATTCTTTTAAAATCTAACCTCTTTGAATGAATTAAACATATCATTGAAATAACACTTTAACTGTGAATCATTAGAAATTTTGTTAAATTTGAACAAAAATAACTGTATGCCGATATGCTGCAGGAAAAAGTTCAACTGAGTTGTTACTTAGTCAAGAAATTTTTTCAATCAAGTTAAATTCGTTTTAATTCATTTGCATTTGTTTTTTTTTTGTTATGCAACTATTTCTTTCTTAATATTAAAATACATTCTAATACACAAGTACTCATAAAATTCATCTCCATAACGGGTCTATTTAAGCGGCATATTTTTCAGTCTGATACTTCGAAACATTTGTCTCAATGGTAGCGGACTTCATCTCATAAAACAACATTTTTACTCATAATACGAATGTGAATATTTTAAATTTTCATTAAGAAAACGTATTTTAAAAAAACTGCATTCTGGCATGTTTGTATAAAAATACTACAAATCCCGTTAGAATGTATGAAAAATCAATGCGTCTAAAGCATAAAAGAAAATGTATTCGAATGATAACTCAAATGGTGTTTATTGGACATCAAAGACGTGTCTCTCATAAACGGGTTTAAACATTATTTTTAGGTGATGTTTTAAACTAGAAAGACGCACCACAGATAAAAATCATGCGATTTAACACATCACAATCAAAAACAATGAATTTAAACGTAAAAATAGCATTTTTTTCAAGGAAATGCGGAAGATATAGATTCATTTCTTAATAAATAGGAAAGCGATATAACAGAGAAAAAACATAGATAGTTACATTTCAGTCAATACCTTTTTTTTTATTTATGAAGTGCTTCATACATGCAGTTACTTTTTTTATTGTATATTGTTAAACTAGTTTTTCTCTTTTATCAATACCAAATGCTAGTATTAAATATTCTCGATTTATTTTTTTTTATCAGTTTTTGATAATATAATCTTTCATAACTTTCATCATTTATTCATATGAAAGTGAAAAATCAAGAACATAAATGATTCTAAGAAAACTCGAGCATCAAATACATCAACTAAAAATTCTGCAGTTAAACTAATCTCAATAGACGAATTCAGTTAAACGTGTTGACTTGTTTAAAAAAAAAGGAGAAATAACGAATGATTGTTGTACATAATAAAATCCGTTTGAAAAAATATGCGTAAAAATATGTTTTCTTGATTGATCGTTACGCGTTAATACGTGTTTTACACTTGAACACAATAAAACTCGTGAAATTTGAGCTGAAAACGGGTAAAAACATGTAAATCTAAAAAAAATTTTACGCGTTTAAACATGGTCTTACCGGAAGGTAGTATTGTTTTTTTCTTCCATTCTCTGCGGTTGTTCTTCGAATAACATTAGATGTTGATATATTTTTTTTACTCTCAGTATGTACTTCTTCTCCACTGATAAAGATGATGATATGGCACTCAAATGGCGTGTGCAGAGAAACAAAAATAGCTGTTAAACTACAATCTGTGAATGACCAATTTTTACGGTAAATTTCCGCGTGAGTATTATTTAACAAAACTTTTCTATTTATCGAAGGTGTAAGCGGAAGTGGATCTGAGTGTTTGTGTCAACGTAATCGGAAATCCTTTTCCAGCAAAGTAAGTCTATGGATAGGGTGATTTTCACTAACAATTTATTCAGTTCAGAAATCAAACGTTTACAAACGTGTTAACCCTTTTGAATAAGTGTATATTCGTTTAGAAACTTTAACCAGTTATGAATGCGTAAAAATGTGCGTTTTTCACGATTTTATTTTTTGTTAAAATTTCGACGCGTTTTTTGTTGTTGTTTGTCCGACTAGACTTATTTTTTCTCTGTATATTTTCATACGCAAACATTTCACCACGTGCAAGGCGAAAGTGAACCAGAAATTTGTAACCGATGATTTTCTATCTAACGTATTCGAAGATCTTTCGTATACTTTCTATAGTCTCAATTCTTGTCCTCACAATTGTCTAGTTATTTCTTTCCCAAACAATACTTTCGATTTTCGGGTCTATACTAAAAAATGATTTTGATATTGTTTCTCATAATTTGACTATGTCATTGGAAATAGAACCGAAATCAATTCTGTCTGATGATACAAATCTTGAGAACTACGAAACAAAATGTCTTAAATTCGTGACATATCATTTGAATGGCTATTAACTTGTATAAAGCGAGTAACACTAATGACTTTTACTTACAATACATTAAAAAGTATAATATTGTATTGACATTGCTTGTGACGAGAGGAAAAAGCGAATCATAAGAACCGTAGGATTTATTAAGATTTAGATGACAAAGATCTTTTACATTATTTAAATTAAGATAAATTTATCGTTATTAATCAAGAAATTAATTTCGAGTGTTTATTATAACATGTGTTTTATTTACATTTCTTTTTTATGCTTATTGATTGTCATTGTTTTTAAACAAGAATTTATACGAGACAAAAAAAAACATAATATAAAAATCTAGTTCATTTGAATCAGAAGAACAGTAAGACTCTGCCATTCTTGTGAGTATTATTGTTATTGAAATTCTGAATTTTGTTTTTTATTGTTTAGCAGAAACTCAACCTTAGCATGTTTAATAAAACATGTCTAGTATTAAAATTGACATCACCTAAATTTTTCTTCAGAAAATATAATGTGTGTTTGACACAAGCCACTTGAATTGGTTATATCTCTAGTAGAGATGTGTTATTTTCTTTTTGGTAAGTGACGTTTCGGACACATGTAATGATCCTCTCATACATGAAAAACCATACCAATGATAATCAAAGAATCAAGAAAAATAGTCAATGTTAAAGTGAAAAAAATATCATTGGAACGAACGTTATTGTCAAGTTCGTTCAATGAAAAATATCGTCAGTTGAAAACTCAAATATACTTTACATGCGATCCTTTAACTATAAATAAATATCGATATTTGTATTGTTGTATAAGAAAGCATGCTATACAGGCATGGTACTCATTGAACCTTTTGAAAATTTAGAAAAAGAATAATATATTGTTACACTTCACTTCATTTAAAAAAAACGAAAAACGTTGTCATAATCTTAATCACATAAAATAATCAAAAAAAAACAAAAAACAAATAGTTATTCATATTTGTAATAAAAGTGCTACACCAGCAAGTACCCATTTTGATGGTTTTTCTTTTGTTTTCAAATTAAAATGCCAAATATATGTACTTCCTCTTGTTTTAATTCGATATACTGGACAATCATAAGTACCTTTAGTATCTAATCGATCGATAGGTATAGCTAAAAGAATTCTATTTAAAATAGATTCTCTTTTTTTTTTTGCAAAAATATTTTACCTTTAACAAATATAACTGGCATTGATGGACATAATTCTTTTAATTTTCCTTCTACTAATAAATTACTTTGTTTATCCCATCGTGCTCCATCAATAAATAAACTAAATTAAAAAAAAAAAGAAGATGAAAATTTATTCAACAAATTTCTTGATAATACTTATGAATATAAGCACCATCTTTCGGCGCATTTTGTAATTCTTCTTTTTGTTTTTTTGTTATTTCAACTATAAGACACATACGATCAAGTGGCCAATCTTGTTTTCGTGCAACAGCTTGCATAATTGAAGTAAGAAATGATTGTGGATTAAATAGACCACCTAACCATACAGAATTTGGTAATTGAAAATCTACTGTCCAATTTTCTATTTCTCGATATCGATTTAACATATCATAAAACCATAGACCTAATGAATAAAGTGATGGATAAGCTCGATTAGACCATTGAATAGGTACAATATCAAGATAGAAACATTCTTGTAAAATTTCAATCTCAGATGATATAGCTAATTCACCCTATAGAATTATCAATATGAAATGGTTTTTTCCTTTCAAAATAAATAATAATAAAACAAACTTTAAGACCACCATCAAGTTCTTTAAGACTTTGTCGAATTTCACGTAATAAATTATTTATTCTTTCAGCTTCTTGTAAAGCAACAACAGCATATGGATTACGTTCATCAACACGTACACGTAATTCAACAATAGTAAAATCTTCGGGCATGTGATTTTGAAATTCTTCAAGTACATTTCGTATCTAATATATATTTATTTATTCAAAAACTTTCAATTAATATTTAATATTACTTTTTCATCACGTGATATTGTTCCATTTTGTCCATGAATATTTGTATTTGTATATTTTGGTGAAATTTCAATAAGTATACGAAAAAGTTTTTCACTTGTTTGAGAAAGAAAATCAATTTCAGCATTTGGATGTAGACCATAAAGTTTTGGTGATTCACTTGGAAGTTTATCATCAATATATGCATGATATGATTTATAATCAAGTGGAGGTGGTAATGGAAAATCAGGTGCCAAATAAAGATCACCTTCAAACATTGTTGGATTTAAATATGTTTCAAGATAATTACGACATAAACGACGATCCCAATCATCAGTTATATGTCCACCATACATTATTTCACCAAATATATAACGTAAATCTTCCCAAGGTATTTTAATATTTGTTTCAAGATAATTACGTAAAACATCAATACATATTTGTAAATCTCCCGAAGAAAATGGATATTTTCTATTGAATTGAAATTATTATTATTAGAGAAGTTATTTTTGTGTTTTCTTTTTCTTTTTAAAGATGAAAATATCTTACCTATTCCAACCGATAGGACCAAATTTTGTTCGTTGAGATACAACAGCATGAAAATAACATAGAGCAAAAAGAATAACTTTAAATTGTGCATCTTTACTACATGAATCAAGAATTTCTTGATCAAAATTATCTAATGCTTTGTGAAGATTGGCTAACATTCCTAAAAATACATTTAAAACAAATTGTAGAGGACAATAGAATGAAATTATTGTCGATATTAAATCAAATGAAATATAATAGTTTATTATTTTGATATCAAACCACTAGAATCTAATAAATATTTTCAGGTCAATGATTTCAATGTCTAGTTCCCGCCGGCACACTTGAAAACAGGAATCCGATGATCGAGTCCAATAGTTGAGGACACCTGCTTCCAAGTTCCTACAATTTTCTGGACGGAATCGGTCTGTATTTCTTAATTTGGGTTGCAAAGCGATCAACTTTATTCAATAATATGAAATTTTTCATTTAGAATGATTCAATGAAAATAGTAGTAATAATAGCTGCAGATTCGATTAATAAGATAATGATGATTGCAGATATACGGAACATAGAATATAATCTTAACAGATCCAACGCGATGGAGCCTATCGGTGCGTCCCACTATATTTTAACAAGGAACTTAATAGAAAAATACTTTCTTTTCCTGTTTTTCTTAAGCAGAATGTTAAACATAATGTATCACCTGCTCTGTCTCAGCTACTTTTTGAATCATTTATTGTATAGCATGTTGCCTCTCGCTAAAAGAATCCAGACAAAATAATTTTGTCACAACCAGAACAGAAGGCTTTTATTTTCTTTACTGTTGCGTAATTCACTTCTCTTGATTGCTGTTATAGAAGCTAGTACAGCATCTTCGGATTGTGCACGCTGGTCTTTCTCTCTCTTCGGGCTTGTGATCAGTGAGTTTGCGCTTCGAATGACTTTCTGATTGTTATCTCGAACCAGGTTGCAGTTCCTTGAATAGTGTACCAAGGAGTAAAGATCATACAAGGCTTTCACAAAACTGCAGAATACTCATGTCACTTGTATCATAGCTTTCCTTGTGAATCAAATGGCTATTAATTATTGCTGTTCCAAATATCAATTCAAATGGCACCTTTTGATACCATTTTACAGATTGTCTCAGATATGTATAGTATGCTGATCTAATAAATCTCTACCTTATTTCCGTTCATTGTAATCGAGCATCATTCAGTGAATTACCGCTGTTTTCTACATTGGTTTTTTTCAACTGGCATGTAAATCATTGCAAAATTTCAGTTGTTTTTATACACACGAGAGGAAAGAGCCAATCGATAATGTCACGAAAACAATGCAAAAGAAAAAAATCGAAATTTCATTTCGTTATTTGTTCCTATTGTACAATACATACAAGTAAGAAAAAAAACCAACTTGAGTAGTTATTCAGTGTGACGTGAAAGAGGCCCGCCTATGTAATGATACGAACAAGAAAAAGAAAAACAACTGACAGTATATACTTAACAGGCCAACGATTGCATTTATCAGAAGGTGAATACATAAGAAAATGAATCTATTCAAGCTATTTTCTAAGAAAATCGAATCGCATTGAATGCGTTAAAATAGAAGTATTATTTGAGATGAAGTGCATCAGCAACAATCATTTCCTCCTTGATCTCTTTTTTGCTATTTTTGTTTCACAACTCAGCAGCTACTACATCTAATCTAATCAAAATTTACAAACCGTGCCATACAGTTGTTGTTCTTCATGTTTCCCATCTATTTGTAGAATAATCTATTCGATGAATACACAAACGTTGACTCCTACAATCCTAATTCAAGTGAAATTTACTATTTTTAGCCAGACCTCTGTTACTACTTCAGTGGATTCTATGATAGGTTGCGTCTTGTAAATTCTAACAGACTTATTATGTTTTGCTGAGAAACCATACACATCTTTGTAGAATGAGACAGTGCTATTGAGATTAGGGAATTTCAGCCTTTAAACGAACAATGTATCAGGCATGAAAGTTATGTCTCCCACAAGTAGGGAGCTGTGGGTCCATGTTTTTGTCGAGCCGGACCTGATCGAGTCCAGATCCGAGATTTTTTACATCAATACCTAGCACCCTGCGTGGCCACGAACAAGCGAACGATCAAGATTTCAACTGTTTATTCGCTACTCTCAGAGGGTGTGGGTGTGGGTGTCTTCTCTCTCAACAGCCACACCCACACCTACCTTCATGTTGCACTTGTCCGGTTCGACTCACATGTGTGAAGTCTCGTCTTTCAATTGAATACAAGAAGTAAACTTCACGAATTTTCGTTGACATACTTTAGTAGCTGTAATAGCTGATCTCCATTTATTAACAAAATTAATTCGATAACTTCTTGAAAAATATCCAGCATATGAAATAAATGTTGATGCTAGTAAAACATCACCTAATAAAGTTTCTAAATCATTTTTAAATGTTTCAACACGTTTTGTCCATATAATTCGACTTGAAGCAAGACCATCAACAAGACGTTCAGCTAAATCAATTTGACGTGCTAATCGTTCTTTTGTTCTAATAGCATCATCTTTTTCAGCAAGAGCTCGTTGCATTTTAAGATTTTCTTCCGTTAAACAATCTTCAAGTATTTGTACATGTGCAAGAATTTTTGAAAAAGCTTGTTGTGCTCGACTTAATTCTTCATTAGCAACATCTAAAGCTATTTGTTTTGGTTTTACTTCCAAATAAACAGTATGAAATTTAAGAGTATCTAATAAATATAAAATATTTATATAATTATATTTGACAGAAAAAAAAAGAACTGAATTTAACTATCAAGCCATGTATAAATCCCACCAGCTGCTGCTGATTTAACTGTAATTTGTTGAATTAAACTTTCAATACTATTTGTTTTACTAATTTTCATTAATGTTGCATTAAGTTTATCAATGATAGCTCTCACTTGTGGAGTAACCTGAAAAATAAAAAGGACTGTTTTGTTTTTCTCTTATTAAAACTATACAAAGATATGTCAACTATAAGAGTGATGATCATTGTAGAATATTCAATAAGTTTAAGTTTGTAAGAAATAAAAGCGTTTCTTCTAACATTTTTTATTGAATAAATGTAAAAGTGAATTTCTTTGAGTAAACTATTAAGAGAAGAGTCTTCGCGATCATCATTTTAGCAAAGTGTAAAATAAATTTTATCTTGTTGAATGGATTTTCTAATAATCTAGACAATAGATAAATTGTAAAATTATCGACATATATTCGAATATTTTTTTTTGATTAATGAAGCCATCAAATAGAAAGGGAATATTTTCATTTTGTTTTGCGAACAAAACCTAATCTTTTTGTTAGTAATTCTATTTACTGCTTAGAGAAAAACGTTACAAAGTTTGTTTCTATATAGAAAAAAAACTGCATCTTCTATGCTATTAGGTATGCATAAAATTGAAACTTTGACTCTATGTTTGAGAACTATCCAACCAGTTCTGACGGTGTAAAGTATTTTGGTAAATGCTCGTGCGTTTCGTGAGGTATATGAACAATCATGCAAGCATCATAAAGTTCAGTCAAGTTCGGATTCAGATATTTCTGAACACCATTAATTTCTTCTAGAGAGTCTGTAATCTTCTTCAGATTTTGAATCATTTATTTCACTGTATGTAGATTAAAACTCAGGAGGATCAAAAATTTTGAAACGCAATTTGAATCCAAAACTTACTCTTAATACTCTCAATGAATTTTTGTAATTCACATTTGATAGTTGCTGCGAAGATATAAGATACTTTTTACGATGATTTATATTCAACGACGAACACACCCTATACATTGCTCAGACAATCTTGACGGTGATCTTATAAGATTTAAGTTATAATGAGCTCTAACTTTTAGAGTAGCGCTCATCGGGATGATCTCAGACTGAATTCGATCGAGTTCGAGTTCCATCCAACGGGCTCTAGTGTAGGTCTACCATACTCAACCCTTGAAACATTTCTATTTGCTTGTACTCCTCTTTTTTCTTTGTGAAGCACTATCTAAAAGGAGTGTTGAAATATAGGAATAACAATCCCGACACCTCCCCTCCCCGCGCCACAAATCGTATATCGATGACACCTCGCTATAATACATGAACTACTCCCTATGCTTAAGAACAGTAGCTACATTGTGTTTCACATTTTAATCTCGCAGAGATTGTGCTAACAGCTTTTTATTCAGTAATTAAATATACCATGAATAGTTCTATATAAGATAGGTATTTCTGATTTTGTTCAACATGATTTATTATTATGAAAATAGACTGAACGATATTGATATAATTACTTTAGCAACTTGAAAATTTCTCAGACGTTGTAAAAATTTTTCTACTGGTCCAATAGTATTTTTTGCTTCCGTCCATGTACGTTGACTTTCAGGAATAATTCGATTTTCATCAACCCATTTAAAAAGTACAACTAAAATACAAATATTTTTGGTAAGTATTTCTATAGTTATTCATTTTCTTTCTTCTTTTTTTTGACTTACCAACCATATTCATTACAAATTTAACAGTTTCTGGTGGTGATGCAAAAGATTTCAATTCAGTTAATTGTCCTTTTTCAATCTTTTCAAGTGCTAATCTTGCTGCTTCGAGTACAGGTTCAGCTTTAGCTCTATATTAATTCAAATAAAAGAAATTTTCATTTTAATATTTCAATGCAAATATACAATTCTATTGCACATGCAGCTTGTACTTTTTCAACAGCTGCTTTTTTTGTTTCAATTTTTCGACGTTCATCATCAGCAAATGACTAAATTTAATTTATATAGAAGGAAGAAAAAAAATTTTTTTTAATATATATATATGATTGATCAAACTTTTTCTTTTGCAACTTTATCTGCTTCAGCTGTAACTATTTTCAATGCAATTTCAGCTTTTTCTGCTTTAGTATTGACTTCATCTGTTGTAATTTTTAAATCTTCTTGTAAAATAGCAGTTTGTGCTGAAATTGAACCAAGTTTTTCTAATCCAGCTAAAATTCGAACAATTTCAAGTTCAATTTTCTTTTGTTTATTTTCATAAATATATTGAAAAAATTTTATATATTCAAGAAATGTTTTTGATGTTGTATAATAAGATCGTCGTTCATTTGTAAAATATTGTATTGATATATGATTGATATCAATATGTGTATCAGCCATAAAATTAGCTATAGCATGACGTATTCCATTCGAAAATAATTTATTATCATCAAGAAAACGAATAACAACTGAATAAAGTGCATCTCTTGGCCATGAATGAAACCAATCAATAATTGTTCCACTAAATAATGCTGGAAAACGACGTGCACGTATACGTAATGTATTTCCAACAGGTGAAAAACACATAACTATTTTAAGATTTCGTCGTACTTTATCAATAAAATATTTCCATATATTTTCTTTTGATTCATTATAACCTTGTGATTTAGCTTCAGATCGTAAATAATTAAGAATTTCTTCTATTTCCTCATCAGTAAATAAATCAAATATTTCACCTGATGATAAATAATCATTGATATAAACAAGAAAATGTTCATCTGTTATTTGTGCATCAGATAATAGAAATATACATGAAAGACCTTTTAATGCAGCACGACGATAGAGATTATTTAGATCAATTTTAAAATCATTTATTCCATAATTTGGTTTTATTGTTATTTGAAAAACATCAAGTGATGATACAAAAGCCGCTAAACGAGCTAAAGATTGCTTTCCACTACCACCAACACCAATTAACAATGCATTACCTAATGAAAATAGATTTATTGTTAAATGTACAGAATCTATCTGTGTAATATCCAGGATCGTAAGAGCAAAATTTTTGGAGGGAACCTTATTAACGATAGAAAAAATTCTTAATTTTAATACAAACGAGCAGAATGTTTGCAACAAAATGTGCTGGAATCATCCAGGATAAGGTAACGAGTTAATTCACCTTCAGCCTCAACTCATTATGTTAACATTGGGGATTCCACCACGACTTTAGACTACTAATGTTATTTTAGAGGAAAGGTAAACAATATCAAACATGAAAACTTTTATGCCATTTCAATTGTGATAAATCATTTTTGGAATAAAAAAAAAAGGCACCAAGACAATCAAGGAAGATCACCACAATTAATACTAGATATAACGCTGAACAGAAGAAGGTTAGAGCTGACGCAGAATTCTTGCGCTCTATTGCTTGAGCTTTCCATACACACTAAATAGCCATAGGTAGGGAACTGCGTGATCGACTTTTTTTGGTCACGGTCACTGATAAAAGAAAAAAAGTTAGCTCCGGTCACGATGACGAACATAAGTAGGGCGGGACCATGACGGTGGTGGCCTTGCAGTTCCCTAACCACAACGTATCCAGTATACTATTGGAAAGGTGATTCGGGACAAATAGTTGTTAGCGACCTGTTCAGGACTATTTCATAGATGAAGATATCAAGGCTTGAACATAATATTTTGTAGTTACATATTGAACAATGTAGGTATTCAAGCATGGCGGCTGTCCAAGACTATTAAAGTGAGTAGATGATTGATGAAACGACTTTACTTTTTACTCTAACGGAATTTTCATTGCATAGCACCCTTGCTTTTGTCTTGGTTTTTTAAAAATATATACATCTGTTTAAAAAAAAACAATGCTTTTTTTGTTTTGATAGTAGGGAAAATGTTTTGAAGGGTTTTTCTTCGTTGGAGAAAAGTTTTTAGCGGTAGATTCTACATCTCTGATTAGTGTAATCAAAGATCAATTTATATATTAGTAGGGTAATAGTGCCCCCTAAAGTTAATAAGCTTTCCGAAAACTCACCTATCTCTTTATTAATTAATAAATTATAGCTCTAAATAGAGGTTTAGTCTGATACTGAATACTTCTTGTTCATTGAGTTCTTCAGACAATATTATCATCAATAATAAATTGGTTATCTTTATAAAATATGATCCTATGACAGATGCTCTCCAGTGACAGTTGCTTCTGCGACATGAGTACGGGTTTGAGTGGGCGAAGAAGTGACGGACATCCACAGCCACAGCCTTTCCCACACTCACATCCCGTCATATCTTCTTGCAAACGAAAGAAGATAGTATTGGTATTTCGAATAGTAACTTCGGAGAATTTTAATAATTTTTGCAACTATATCATACCTCGTGGTGATTCAAGTATACGATTAATACGTGCAATATGAATAAGAGCATCTTCAAATAATACTAAATTCATTGAAGGATTTGTTTCATTATATGATGCTAATGCATCTTCGACTATATGTTGTAATTTATCCATTGATGATACAGCTGTATATTGTCCACCATTAATTCCATCAGAAAAATGTGAATAAATAAGTGGTCGAAGAAATGTTTCATCATTGGCAAACTAATAAATTTTTTTTTTATTTAAATAAATAAATAAATAATAAATATGTTACTTCAAAACTTTTTCGTATAGTTTCACGTAAAATTTTATGAAAAAATTCAATATCATCTTGATTAATAAGTTTATCTGAATAAGTTCTTTCAGCTTCATGTATGTATAAACGTATGAGATCTTGTGGATATAAAATATTTTTTGATGAAGCTAATAACATTCCCTAAAATAAAATGATTTATTTATTTATTTATTAGTCTATGTAAAAAAACAAACGAGTTTAATACAGTTGCTTGTTAAATCACTTGAAAATCAGGCACCTGAATAATCTGTATGAACGTATCGTACAAGTCATCAACCTCATCATCAAAGAAAAACGAACACGATTTGTAATTGAGTTAACGAAAAAATATTTAATGACTGCAATAAGTGCCTGATAGGTTTTACATGGATATCGTTTCTTGAGATTGATTTTTCAACTAATGACAGAATTGCTCCCATATAATTCAGAACTTTTGTGCTGCTATTTTTCTCATAAGTAGGACCGAATGAGACTAGAACAAGCTTAAAATGATAAGCCCTCACAGTTCTTTCTTGCTGAGTTATAAGTATTTTACTCGATTTATCATGTATAACAAGCGATGTATCAAAAACTCAAAATACAGAATTTCGATCTAAAATTTTTCCCACATATAGATCTCACCACCCTTAAGAGATCTAAATATCACAATCAAAACGAATGCTTCTTTTTTGAAATATTGCGTCTTCAATAAACATTCACATGGTACCTAGAGCTCGGTGGTTCTAAGAAAAACTGAAACCGTTAAATCATCAGATAGATATAAAAATTCTTAAATCCATGTCGAAAAATTCATTCTTGAGCTTAATGATTTTAATATATATGTATAAGATTATTTTATTTAAGTACTGAAATATGTAGCGTCTTTAATCCCAACAATTCAATATTGAAAATTTCTTAAAATAGATTTGAAATTTTCGTATCTATCTGATAATTTAATGGCATCGGTGCCATGTGGTATTTTGAAAATTGAACTAGAACCGCAATTCCTGTTTCAGGTAATTTTTGGAACCGCCCAACTCTAGGTATTATGTGAATGTTTGTTGCAGACACAATATTTCAAAAAAAGAAGCGTTCCTTTTGATTGTGACATTTAGATCTCTATAAGGGTGGTGAGATCTATATGTGGGGGAAAGTTTTAGACCGAAATTCTCTACTTTGAGTTTTCGATACATCGCTTATTATATATGATAAATCTAGTTAAATATTTATAACTCAGCAAGAAAGATCTATGAACGCTTATTATTTTAGTCTTGTTCTAGTCTCTCTGTGTATCCTGCTTATTGTAAAAATACCAGTGTAGAAGCTTTAAATCACTTAGAGCAGTTCGTTAGTAACTATTTTAGTTGATTTCTGAATGATCAATGCATTCATTCGAGCAATTGTCTCTCCAAGATAAAATATTTAACCATAAAATGTGTATTGCTTCTGCAATATTTTTTGGATAAGTTGAATGAATATTTTAAAAGGATTTCTACATATAGCAATAGTTTCGAGTTTTAAGAGGAAATGACCAACATGGCATCTTGGATTGTAATATCCGTGTGAAGTGGCACAGCTTGTATGAGAAAGTTGTGTTTTTGATTACTTCTCAATTTGTTAGAGTGACCAAACTGAAATGTGTACTGCTAGTTTCTAGCGAAACACTAAATGACAATTTTGAATTTATCTTCTGAGTAAAATTATTATTTGTTGTTTTGGTTTGAATTATTTTATTGCAAATTTTCTACGAAACAATCTCTATGAGTCATTGCTTATCTTCTTCAAAAAATAATGATACCTGAACAATATTTGATAAATCACGTAAATTAAAAAAATAATGAAATTTAATTGCTGTAGGTAAAAATACACTTGAAACACGTTGATGAAATTGTATCATAACTGTTATAAATTGATTTAAAAAACTTGTCTGTGTTTTTAAATCAATTTTATTAATATGTGAAAATTTAGTTTCAAGCATTTTTGAATAAATTGTATGAAGAGTATTCTAAAAATTATATCATATGTTTATATGTATATATATCTATTTAATTTAATAATAAACTTTATTTGATAAAGGAACAGCCAATGTTGCAAAATGTCGTTGAAGACGAGCATCAATATTAAATGTTCCTGCATTTTGATTCATTGCAACAACAAATTGACAATTTCGAATTTCTTTAAGTGTAAATTTTTGTCGATCATACCAATGTTGATAATCAAGATATTCACGAACGATTGTATGAGCTTGTACAGTAAAATATTTATCACGTTCAGGCATATTAAAATCATCTATTTATTCACTTAGAAGAATACAATCTCTATCAGATTAAAATGTGAAACATGATGGAATTGTTGATATTATAAAAGACGGAATTCACTCAGATAGGTTTTGTGTTTTTCTGAACTCTTACCTAATGTTAAAACCAGTCGTTGATTATTGTTATATGTTACAATTAATGTGAAAGAAGGGTAAATGATACCTATCTTAAATTCAATTGTGTTTCATATAGAGACCGACGAGCTTTAGTCATCTGAGAAACATGTAGGACGCTCTAGTCACTGACTACAAAAAACCGACAAAAAGTATCTCCTATCATCTGTACGACTATCGACATTCGATTAGAAAATATCATTGAGATTATCAAAGTACGGTTCGATCGAATCTGAAAACTTTAGACCTTATGGGCTGTAGTTTCATATTGATCCCATAATAGACTTTTGGTCTTGCTAGTTTGTCTGTCATGGCCCATGAGAAGGAAGCGGCAATGCTTTAGTAGTGCATTTTTTGCGTGGCAGACGAACGTGTAACTTTCGTTCTCGGAAACGGCTTTCTGTTTGTTCCAAATGATTGCATATCACTAAGAAAAGAATACGTTTTTCGAGTAAAAAATCCGACGGAAACTCTTGTCTCATACTTCATCAGATGTAGTCTCACATGCTGATTCCGAATATACTATTTATTTTCAATAGAAACGCTTTGAAAGAAGACAAATCAAGTCTTTTCAAAAAAACCTACTGTATGGTTCAGGAGTATTTTTGCTAGCTACGGTGATAGACGATATAGAATAACATATTTTGATACTTTGGATCGGCGCTAAGAAGCATGCGTTCGTTGTGCTGGGCTTAGACATTTCGAAGATTAGTTTAGAAAAAATGCTTATTTTTCCTCAAACAGCACACATTCAAATAAAAAGGTTTCTTTCATAATCAATGTCAGACGATACGCAGATTTAGAATATCTAACGAGCATATCTAGAAGATGACTTCATTTTGTCAAGAATTGATTTTCTCATCGATATTAGTGTTTTCAGGCTTATTTTTGAATTCCGATTGTATTACTCTACTTAAAATTCACAACAAAAATTTTTACACCTATACTTCAACATTTCTTTTCGATCATGTTTCACAAAAGACAGAGAGAGATTGAAATACCAATAAAATAAATCAATCGTCGATTTCCTGGTGCTCCATATGTTCGACCAGCTTTTTTTTCTAAAGGTTTTTCAAGTGAGTTTTGTAACATTTCACTTGTTGTATAATCTATGAATATAATAAAATGAGAAAAAACAAAAAAAATTAATATTTTTATTAAAATTATACAGTTGAGTGGAATTGTTGAAATCATAAAATTTTGTGAATCAAATTTTTCTAATCGATTTTTAATTATGACACTTTTACCCGTACCAGCTGAACCAACAAACATAACAGAAACACCTTTTTTTATAAGTGCTTCAAGCCAAAATGATAAACGAACTGTTTCATTTGTAGGTATTAATTGTGACTAGAAAATATTTTTCTTTTTTTCATTAAATAGAAAGAAAAAAAAAAGACAAATTAAGAAAACTACTTGAACTGGTAAATCAGGATCAAAATTAATTTCATCAACAAATTTTGACCACGGTTCAAATCGTTTCGATTGTGGTTCAATTGAATAATCAAATACAGTTCCATGAGGTGGAAATTTAATACTTTTAAATTCATGAATAAACCATTTAGAAAATTCAACTCGATAATCAATTATTTGATCTTGAAAAAGTGAACCACCAATAGCCCATATAGTTGCCCAAACAAAATATAATTCCCACCATTCTTTTGGACAATCTGCTGGTAAATTTTGTGGTGTTAATAAACAATCTATAATTTAAAAAATCGCCTAGAACTACTAATAAAATACTTTCATAAATTAAATACAACAAGATCGATGACTTCATTTTTGTTTGAATATTAATTGATTTCTTATATGTTTAATATAAAAAGAACAAAATCGTTAGGATAAATTGAATTCGTATGTTAGATGAAGATGGAAAACATCAACTGAGGTTAGTTTTGATTGTCACAAAAGATAGGAAAAAGAATAAAATGAAGATTTGAATAAATTTTATTTTCATACTATATTCATTTGTGTGAATACTTGTTCGAAAAACAAAGATTAATTAATTAGATGTTTATTAAAATGAAACAAGAAAAGATATTATATAAATTATTATATCGAAATTATGATCGTTAAACTCTTTTATAAGATTCAATTTAATAGGTAATTAGCTGTATTAAATAGTTACGAATAAAGTTTTACAACTACAACTCATGTCTCTTATCAGAATTCTATTAATATAAATTCGAATTTAAGTTTAAAAAATATTGAAATCAATGAACTGTATTCGTTAAAGTCACCTGTAACATTTTGCAAGAGAGATAGTTAATATTGATTTGATCAAAAAGAAAAAGAACTCCGTGTAACTAATGTAAAAAAAAAGTTAAAATTGTAATATACGTTGTCTTATTGGAAAATTTTTTATTTCATTGAAAAAAAAAGAAATATAGATCAAGGTTAAATATTAATACCACTGTGCGCATATGTCATATTCGACATACTTTGAAGATGATATCTTTGTTTTCGATTCGCAAAGACTTTGAGAGTGAGGAAATTACTTCAACTAATTAATGGTTGTTGAGTCAGAACTTAGTGCATTACGTAGACCTAAATAAGCTATGAATACTCTAAGAGGAGTTCGATTTCGTAGCGTATTGATATGGAGATGATGCATTTTTACGGTATTCTTTAAATAAACACCGTAGTCCCCCTCAACAACACTAGATAAACTAATTTTCAAATTTCGACCTTATTGTGAAAGTTTCAGATCTTTTGATTTATTCGTATCCTGAAATAACAATATCGGATATTCTGGTGAATATGAAGAATGTAAAAGACACACTATTGTCATAGTCATATCTTAGAATAGAGACATCGGAACAATCTGAAACATTTAAAATGAACGATTATAGCAAATTCGCATCTCTATGCAAAGTTTAGAGTCGAAATTCGAAAACCAGTTTTTCCGGTGTTTCTAAGGAAATTAATGGCATCAAGCTAAAAAATCCTGTACAAATAGAGTATTAGTACAGTAATAATCTAAGAGATTGAATTCTTTTCAGAGTATGCATAGGTCGTTAGAATCTACATGATGTGCACATAGTCTCGACACAAAAGTAATTAATCAATGAGGAATAGGGATACGCATAGGCCGAGTTTTTTGGTCCCAATTTTGGTCTGATCTCGATGGAGAGAAAAACTATTCCAGAATTTATTCGTATCATATCTAAAAAAATTCTTCAATACTTGTTTCGTTCATTTATTTAGACGCCGACTAGCACTTTTTGGATCATTTCTCTTGAATTATATTCTGATTGATATGATTTATAAGATAATTCGCTTAGAATTATAGAACATTTAACTAGAATTTTCAGTTCCATTCGAAACAACTGTTCTCTCGTAGTCTCGATCCCGTACATCTCTAGTTAGAAGACTTCCCTCGTAAGATGATAGGAGTATAATAGAGAATGAGTCTCACTAGTTGAAAAGAAACGAGATGTGTTGAACGATTTACCATGAAAAAAAAACTACTTGAATTCTATGATTGACTATACACTATTTTATCTTTTCGAAATTCATAAAATGATTTTTTTTTTCGAGGAAACTATCAGCTTTTTGAAAGAGAATTGGTCGACAAGATGAAAGAATAGAAATTCATGTTAACTTTTTCACATGAACTTGAGATTTTTGTTTTCAACAAATTCTATTTTGCTTTCTTTCGTCTAAACCATTCATGTTCGAAATAAAAAAAGAACAATAATAATCATCTATCCTATTCAAAAACTAATCAATTTTCTTTAGTAAAAACAAAACAAAACAAACTAACCAAGAATATTGCATAACATTTGTATATGACAAACATCAACTAATGGTGTAATCGTTTTAACACGGCCACTTTTAAGTAATTCCAAACAACGTGGTATATATTTATCAAATAATAATAATAATTGATTACGTTCATTATTTGATTCGCGTTGTTCAACCCAACTAACATAAACAGGTGAATATCCAATATCATTTGTTGATACATATAAAATTCCTGCACGTGAAACTGTTGCTGGTGTTGCTGTTTTTAAATGACTTATTTCAAATAATAAACGCATTGTTTCATTAAATGGAATTCGTTCATTACTAGCTAATGTAAGTACTTTATTATCATCCATAACTGTATTTAATGATTCGATCCACATTGGATCAATATCACCATCAAGTACAATCCATTTTGGTGCTAAGAAGAAAAAACAATTCGAACTTCATATTTCTTTTTTGTTTTTTTAGTTTAAATTTAATAAGAAATAATTATTTACAATCTGATGTCATATTAGCTAAATCTCGCATAATAGTTGAAAATAGACCATCTTTCCATTCATGTGTTTGTCGATGCATATAACCAAATAATTCATCATTAGTAACAGCTTTTGGATCAACTGAAAAGAGACAAAAAAAATAAATAAATGAATAATATTTTAATTGTATTATAAAAATGATTTTACGATCAATAGCATGTGGTCGACGTTTCAGATTTTGATAAGTTTTAAATAATGTTTTCCATATTTGTGTTTTACCTTAAATGGAATACACAAAACATAATTTCATCTTAAGTCTCCTTTCCGTCAGGATTATAGAAATTAAGATAAATGGATACATTTTTGAAAGACCATGTGAAACTGCAGTGCTTGTCATCTTTTTTCTACGTATAAAAATTAAAAGTTTAAAAAGAAGAGCTACATCCTCCAAAGGGTTCGTTTGGTCGTGATATCGACTTTTTAGCAAAATTTTCTCTGAAGAGACTTAATTTTTCGATAAAGTGCTATTGTCAAGTTTTTGCCTGAGAACTTTGCGCAGGTGAAGATCTTAGTAAGACTAGCTTATGCACAAAATTTCAGAAGTTTTCGATCGAGTATCGCTGAGATACGCATCTTTTACACAGTATGAATGGAAAACCGTCTGAAAAATGCATATTATAGAGATATTCGATCGAAAACTTCTGAAATTTTGTGCATAAGTGAATCTCATTGAGATTCTTATCTAGATAAAGTTTTCAGGCAAAAATTTGACAGTAGAATTTTATCGAGAAATTGGATCCATACAGAAAGTATTCACTAAAAAGTCAATATCTCGGTCAAACGAACTCTTTGAAAGGTATTCTAGTCTGTCGATCCATCACCACTGAGCAAAATATGGGCTCAAAAGCTTTTAATCATCTGGAGACTTTCCCTCGTTCGTGAAACTATAGACACTTTGCAAAAAGTTCTTTTCTATACAAAGTGTCAAATCGATTTTTTGAAAGTCTAAATTCGAAAAAAAGTACAAAATTCTGATCATAATCGATAGTTTTTTATATCAAGAAATACTTTCAAAATAGATTAAATTCAATATTTAATACCTGTTCCAGCATTTCCAATAATAAAAACAGAATGTCGTACATCAAATATTTCTTTTAATTGAATAACTTTAAGTACAAAATTATTTTGTACAGTTGGACTTGCTTCTTCAGCTTGTAAATGAAGATCAATAGCAGCTTTTCGAACTTTATTTTCAAAATCTTGATCTCTATTATTATAAAATTAAAAAAATTAAAAAATAAATAAATCAAATATTTGTATATATAATATACCTTTTTCGTTCAACATCTAATGCTGGAAATAGATCTCCAATAAGATTAAGAAAAACTGGCATATCTTCAATAGTTATTTTTGGTATATTAAAATCACGTAATGCTCTCATAAGTACTTTATCTTCACTCATATTAGGATCTGATCGTCTTAATGTTCCAGCAACAACAAGTACTGATTTAATTGCACGTAAACCCCAATCATAATGTTCCTTTTTTTTTATACAAAAAAAAAAACAATCAATTCAAAAAATTCTTTTTTTTTTTAAATCAAACTTGTTTTGATAATAAATTATGACATAATGTATATAATGTAACAAATTTTCTACTTAATAATCGTGCATCTGTAAATCCAGCTGATACAAGATTTAATTCAGCTAAATAATAAAAACAAAAAAAAAAAGAATCAATATTCTATTATTAATGAAATTTTTTTTCTAAAACAAACCAATTAATTCAAAATCTGGTACAACCATTGCACATGGTCTATCATATCAAAACAAAAAATTAAATATTTAAAAATCATTTAAAAAATTTTTTCTCTACCGAAATAAAGCTTTTAAATTTTCTGGTAATTCTGTTCGTCCAGCATAACCAGGATTCATTGTTATAAAAATACCAACAGATAGATGAAGTTTTATTTCTGTATTCATAAAATTAAATAATTTACGTTTAGCTCTTAATGCATCCTTTTCAAAATGAATTTCATAAAATATTTTGTTTTTGTGTTATATATTTTTTTCTTACAAAAATAAGTTTAACTTGAACTGCAACAACAGATAAAACTGCAATTGATATACGATTAAATCTAATTTAAAATAAATTAAATATTATAAAAGGACTAAATAATAAAATTTACTCATCAAAACATCCCCAACAACCACTAAAAAAAAAATAAATCTATATAAAAATTAATAAGATAAAATTCCATACCTCATTGCTAATCCTTTAAATGTATTACCAATAGATTTATAATCAATTTGTTCAGAACAATTTGTAACAAAAACACATACACCTAATGATCGACCAAGATCTATTTAAAAATTCAAGTTTCATATAAATCTATAAAAAATAACACATGCTGTCTAACCTTTAGTAGTTTCAGTTTTTCCAGTTCCAGCCGGACCTAAACGAATTCAACGTATACAATAAATAGATCGAATCTAATGATTCTATCGACAAACCAGCTGGAGCTCCGCCAACAAATAAATGTAATGATTGTGTTAACGTTATATAACACCTAAAGAAAATATGATTTTATCATTGAAAGAACGCGCAAAAAAAAAAGTAGTGTCAGCAGTGGGAGTCGAACCCACGCCAGCATTCGCTGACCAGAACACTCAACCTCACTGAGGAAGCATTGCGCTTGAGTCTGGCGCCTTAGACCACTCGGCCATACTGACGACAAGAGTATTTGGTTTTTTATTCAATTTAATTTTATGAAAATTAAAAGATTTTATTAAATTTAATGAAAGAGATTCGAACTTTTGCAAAATAATTATTTTATTCTAGTGAATTTATTTTTAATTACTATTTTATTAGACTAGTCGAGTAACATAAATAATAAGACATTTTTTTTCAAGTAAATTAAAATTAATAATTGCATATACAATGAGTAATTTTGCTTTTCTTTTATTTTTTTTCTTTTCTATATCAGTCAAGACACACCACCCTCTACACATATACGAGGATATACGAACAGTAATGTCAATAGAACAAAAAAGAAATGCAAAAATAAGTTCGTCAAGTATTTATTTAATTAAATATTCGAAATAATCGTCCTAGTTATCCATACTCCATTGCATTCGTTGAATGAATTTATCGAGCGTTTATTTTTGTTTTATATTCTTCTTTATTCAAAGAATTCATGAGCTTGTTTACAATACGATGTAACAATTTAGAATCATTTGAAACGCTTAAATTTTGTTTGATTAAGTCGAATAACCAAAAATCACTAAGCGTCAAATTCAAGACAAAATATGACCTAATTTTATCGTTTTATTGAAATTTTATTATAATAATATTAGTTGAAGAATGATCAAATATTAGAGAAATACAGAGCATTATGTTTTACTATCAGATCATATAGAGAAAAAGTTTCTTTAAGCTTATATGAATCATACGATAAAGATCGAGCAATAAGTATTGCCGGGATTTCTGAAGAAATATTTGAAACTTTCAGAGTAGATAGATCTAGATGAGTATAGCAAAAGTTGTCATAGACTGCAAATTCTCAAATACATCTTTCTAGAACATATCTGGATCGCAAAGACTAAACATCATCCCACTTTCTCAGTCGTAATAAGTCCGATGAAACTGTATATTTTTTTACGGTTATTAGACGCAGTTCGGGGTGCCTACTTCTTTTTTTTTGGTGTCTTTTTATGTCCTTCCATTTGAATAAAAAGATCAAAATGCTGAGCGTATCTCTAAAAACACATGTATTTTTTACTAGAGCTTCTTTCTGTAAAATCTGCCAAAAATTCACAACGCAATATTTTTTAAAACAAAAACAAATAGTCACCTAAACAGTGTGCAATATCGAGAAAAAAAAGTTTTAGCTTGATCGAATGTACTATGTTGGAAAAACGGGAAAGATTCTATACTTTTTTTTTTGTGTAAAAATTGATTTCGAGAAAAACGAAAAACACATTTTCTTGTACGTATGAAGACTTTCTTTCCTCAACTAAATCTATGTATTATGAAATAATCTAGCAAAAAAAAGGAGTATAAGAAAAGTGTACGTGCAATGCAATTGCTTAGGGACACTTTGACGTGCAAAGCTAACAGATTATAATACATTACCTATCTGTTAATGGTGTAATTACCAATCGACTCTTATTGCCTAAATATCTAAATATCATAATAGATTTCAATACAACTAATGTTTATCCAAAAATATCATGATCGTGAGTATTTTTCCAATAACTCAAGAATGGAAAGAGCTAGAGAGCTGCGGTTTTAATCATTCAAGAGAAAAAACTCAGAACCATTAGAGTATATCAAAACTTGATTGATCAACAGTTAACCAATCAGATAAGTTCTTTGCAGAGATTTTCGAAAACGATATTCTTAAGGTATTCCTCATTCAATATAACTTCATAAGGACTGATCGATAGAAAAAATTCTTCTCGTTCAATCTACGTAAGACCGGCGTCATTAGATTGGTTCATTCGAAAGTTATAAGACTTTTTCTGAGACTTTCCGGTTTCGACCAATTGACCTGTGATTACCAGAAAAAGCAGCTAGACAAAAGTAATTCGCCATGCTGACTCAAATAGTGATATTTGTTTTTAGATTAGAAATGCTTTCACACTGTGATCTCAATATTTCTGAAATTCCACAATCGACCTCCATCTAATGAAGGAATCGACATTTCGGAACTATTGAGATAAAGTGTCAGATCATTTCGAACATACAATCAAATATCACCATTCGACTCAGCATTGTGAATTGCCTATGCCTAACTGGTTTTCCGATCGGTCACAGTTCAATTGGCTGAAACTGGAAGTCTCAGGAAAACTCGAATGAAACTAGCTAGTAATACCGGTCTTGCGTAGATTGAAAGATAAGCATTTTTTCTATTGATTAAGCCTATGAAAAGTCTGAATCAACAGGGAAATAGCTTCAAAATATCTTGTTCAAAAATCTTCACCAAGAGCTCCCCTGATTAGACTATTGCTGACCAATCCAATTTTGACACACTTTGATGGCCCCGAGTCTTCTCTTTTCATTGGTTAAAACCGCAGCTCTCTAGCTCTTTCCGTTCTTGAGTTATTGCACAAATACCCGCAGTCATTAGATTTTTGTACAAATATTAGTTAAATCTTATATAAACTCACTCATATTGATATTTAAATCTAGCATCACATATATTTGCATAACAATTATTATCTTTTGAATCCCATCTATGTCTTAATTGTGATTGCCAAGTAAATTCATTACTATTTTCAATCTAAATAAATAAGTAATAAAAGAAAAATTTCTTTCTAAATAATATTTTTACTTTAAGATTAAGCATTTTTGTAATAACATCACGTGCATGAAGATCAATAAGACAAAGTGTTGTTATTTTTTCACGATCTTGGTCATTTAAATAACCCAATAATAAATTAATAAGTGTATTAAGTTGTACTATTTGTTTTTTATTATATTCACGTAATGCATTTGAAAAACCTTCTTCCATACGAGCAAATGTTGCATTTACATCTGTTGTCCACCTGAATATTTGATTTTTATTAAAAATTATTCAATAAATAAATTTTACAACAAACCATATTTGACTTGCAGTAAGAATAATTTGAGCTGGATAATCAAATATCCATTCTTCTCGAGATTTATCCTAGATTGGTAATCAATTTAAAATTAATAGCACAATATATTTCAAATATTCCCATGACAAAACAAAGCTTTTGCCGAGCCTGAATTTTCCGACACCGACAATAGTCAAACTTAGATTTCTGATCTGTCTCTAGTTTCGGTGAATGGTTACGGGGATCACCAGAATTGACACCTGCTGTTTAGGCAGGGAACGGCAGGGCTACCTTTTTTTGGTCCCTTTTTATTGCTTCTGGTCCTGATTTCGTTTCTAGCAAAAATGTTTCTTTTTTCAATAACCTGTATGATTCTTTGAATAAATATAAAATTAACATTAATGATTTTGAGAAATTAGCATAACTTTATATGTATGCATCAGAACTAGGGAAATAAAACTGTTTGTTTTGTCTCACTCAAAATTTTCCTTGATTCTGGCCTTGTGATTTAGAAGATTCTCTCAGAGCTTACAGTTTTTGCATAGACAAAACATGTAAATGAATGATCTTCAATCGATGTTTCCTCAAGTGTCACTTTGATAGTATCAAAATTTAGGATGTACAGAACAATAGGCACTATTTTTAGTAGAAATCTCCAAGATGATTTCGGTTCCGATCTGGAATCGAAAAAAGTGATTTTGCAGACAGATGATTTTATCACAATCATTGAAAAAGAGTCGATTATAGTCAGAACACAATAATAAGTACGACAATATATAGTCTATTTCTTAACCAGAAAATATACCGGGACCAACCTATTTCGATAATAATTAAAATTTAGTTTCGATTATGGACTCGACAGAATCAGGAACACTTTGCAGATTCAAGGCATATTGTATACGAGAACTGTAGGCTGTAGAAAGATCGAAAGGAAAAATATTTGAAAATTTCAACTAAAAAGATATTCTCTATTTTTGGCATAAGGAAGGTGGACGCGAGTATTCTCTACACCTACATCTTACAAACTTTAGACTATTCGATTTTTAGTTGCATACTTCATAAGTAGTTACGGCTATTCTTAGCCAATTTCTGATTGTTTCACAATGAAAATCTAATAAACGTGATAACCAAATTTCTACTGCTCCTTCAAGATTACAATCATTAAAAAATTTCACACGTTCACCATCATCCGAATACACTATAATCAAAAGAAAATATTCAAAAAAAGAAAATGTTTTGCTTTTTGTCAAAAAAAAAAACTTACTAGCATATGCCATTTTAAGTTTATTTCCATTTGTATCTTCACGTAAATCTAATTTATTTAAACTATCAAATACTTTTCTTAATAATCGCATAACTTTTTCTGGTTCATTTCCATTAGATAAAAATTCAAGTAATTCCGAACCGGATACAAAGAAAAATCTGAATTTTATAAATCAAAATGATTGTTTACTTTTGTTTTTAACTTACCGTGGAAAAGCAAGTCTTTTGATTTCTATTCAAAAAACAAAGAATAAGATAATGAATAAAGAAATTACCATAGAATAGAATTTCGTGGAAAACGCAGAAAAGAAAAATACCAAAATTCAGAATATCGAATAAGAAAAAAGTGAAAGGGCATAGTAAACTTCAATATCTGTACAACATTATACAATTGATAAGGAATGCTGCTGCAAGCGTCTAGATTAAATATCGATGAAATTCATTTTTTACACATTCAATTGAATGAATACAACCTCTAGTTTAGCATTGGATTGGATTAAGGGTGAAAACAGTAAAGAAATTATATCTATATTTTTTGAGTTGGGTCCAGAGTTCTGCGTGACTAAGATTTTTGGACACGGCCACGAATGCTTTTCGGATTAGAAATGTGTCAAATAAAGTTGTCAGTTTCGGTTTAGTCCTGATAACTTCTTTTTCAGTGATCCCGTTCATAGTCTTGTTAAATTTGATCTGGTATCGGCCCGCATATCTCCAATACTGATAGCTCTCAAATGACCCTACTCTCAAAGACTCTTATTGTCAAAAGCGCTTACGCTTGGTCGATTAAACACGATTCCAAAAATGACAAATGATTAACCAACTACTTTTCTGCGAAATCAGAAAAACTATCAAAACAACTGTACTTTGCAGATTTTTAGTTAAGTCAAGAGATTTATTTTTACTAGAAAAGCATATAAGATGAAAATGAATTTCCTTACCAAACCCAATCCAAAGCTATATACATTACTTCTATATTCTTTTTTTTAAATCGAACTCTGGCGGTTAGGTGTCAAAGTATTGAATTAAATTTTCATGAAGTTTTTTTCATAGTTATTTCAATTAAATCTCCTAGAAATAAAAACTAATCATCTCATGAAAAATGAAAGTGAGAACTTGAAAATGATTATCGACGATTCAAACGATGGAATCAAATCAATCATATAATACTCAGGTAGAGATGTGCAAGGTAAGCTTTTCTCGTATCCTGACTGACAATGGAACATGTTGTACTGTTAATACTAAATATTAAACATATTTGGATCAAGTTAAAGGTCTCACTACCCAACTAACAAATTTAAAACTTATGAACTACCTGCGGTGTGCAAGGATCTCTGCAGTTACTAGCAATGAGAAACGTAAAATGAATCATTCTATGTTTTTGATGTATCTTTTCTGCGTTTTCTGTTCATCGAATAGAATTTACCTAAATAATCTTCTAATGCTTTTTGACATATTTGTAAATTATCTTTCATTTTTTCTAATTGATCATATAAACCCGAACGATTTGTACAACGAATAAAATTTAAATCAGCTTCATTTTCTTTTGCTATTATCTATAAAAATCCGTTGTTTTTTTTAAATATTTAATTCATAAAAAAAAGAAAATAATAATTCAATAAACTTTAAATTCTTTATCAATTCTATGAAAAGCTTCTGTTTCATCAGGTAATTGTATTCGAATATCGTCAGTACCAATAAAAATTGCTTCTAAATTTGACCATGTACGTTGTACATCAGTTAATAATTGTAAAACCATATCAGCTGTTGACATTTGACTTTTCCATGTAATAACATTATCAATAAAATGTGAAATAAATTTTGATGAAAGTAATGTTTGTAATTGTGTTTGATGTTCATCTAATGCAACAAGAATATCATCATCAATTGAAACAAGTGTTACATTTGTACGTGGATGTTTTTCAATATGAAAATTCATATTTGACCTTAACAAAATTATTTTTAATTATTAAAAAAATTTTTTTTTTCGTAAACATAAAAAAACAAATTTACCAAGTATTTTCAAGATCATGTAAAATTTTTTCCATTCCTTGTTCTTTATCTGCTTTATCAACAATATTTTTGACCTAAAGAAGTACTTTTTTTTATAAATCAAAATATGATTATTAATAAAGAAAACCTCTTCTTCATATTTATGTAAATTAAGAACAAGTAAATCTTGTAAACTTGTTTCATTTGTTATATGAATTTGAACACCTGTTTCTTTCATTAATTCTTCCCAATGACGTGATCTTATTGCATTATTACGAAATTCTCCTACAGAACGTAATGATGCAATAAGATTTTTAACATCTTTTTCAATTCCATGATAAGCATTCCATTGATTACATTCTTTAGCAAGTAAACGTAATTCTTTATTTAAATATGTTTGTCGTAATTCTTGATCAATTAATTCAATATTAACTTGTTTCCATGGTGTTTTTGTCCATTCATCAATACGTGAACGAATTAAATAAATTAAATCCCATAATTGTTTTAATGGACGCATTTCTTTACGACATAATTTTACACTATGAAAAATAATCTTTTTTTTGTTTTTTGTTTATTATAAATTTTTTTTTTTAATAATCACGTTTTATATTCAGGAATATTGATATCAAATATACTAGCAAGATCAGTTAATTGTTGAACTTCTTGATCGAATTTACGTAATTGTGATGCCCAATTATCAAGTTCTAGAAATTAGGTTTTTATTTGAAAAAAAAAAAGTATTTTGTTGGTATTCGAACACTATATGATCATCGATTCGTTTTTAATCATTCTGACCGAAAAATTTTTCAAATGTTTAATAGACGTTTGTTTTTTTATATGTTTTCCATAAAAATAAACTCAATGATATTAAGTTTAATAATCGGAAAGCAAATGAGATCGATTCATCTCTTCTAAACTACTGATCATCAAACGTATCAGTTCGCCAGAAGTGAACTTTTTTCATGAAGTCTACTAATGCTTTTAAAGTCAGATAAAAGAAGCTTTAGAGCATGTCAAGGTTATTTTTGTTAATCAATCATTGAATCATTTAAGTAACGATTCAACAATCAGTCTGCTAGACATAACACATCAAACGGTAGGTTTTGGTGAGTACATTGCAACTTCAAAGCGATACACAGGTCATTTTGAGTCCTAATACGACAACTGTATTTATTAACCAATATAGTGCGAATAACATCCAAGAAAATGAAGTAATTAAAAAAAATAATCGTTATATAATGTCTTTCTTCATATTGAACAACAGGCTAAATTTTTATATTTCAGTTACAGGTGATAACTTTGAAGGAAGTTTTTGAAGTTTGCTTATATGAATAAAAACTCGATGTATGGAGCTCTCATTTAAAAAAGAAACTTAATTATCAAAATTGAATTGAATAGTCAAGATATTTATAGAAGCTTTGGGGACACACTATATTTGGTCCCGGGACAGAGACCATCTTCCCTTAATATAGTACCCACAATAAATTTATCATCAGAAAACGATATACCATGGTACAGTGGCGGACATAGGATAGCCTACCATTAATCCATCAAATTATTGCCCCGAAATAGCGAACATTATATCGAAGAATCTACTGACGTATTTTGTCTAGCTTGAATCGCACGAGTATTTAATGATATGAAAGTAGCTAACTGCAATCTTATCAATTACGGTTGATTATAATGATACACGAAGTTCTCGAATAAAGCTTTAAATAAATATGTTAGAACAATTTTTCGATCTTCGAAGAAACAATTCAGTAATCATAAGGTCTATTTACTCAATTATATTTTCACACAAAAGGTTTTTTTATTTTGGGAAATTTCTCCTAGATCTGACAATAACTAATACCAATGATGTCAATGGCATTCAGTGAATTACATAATACAGCCTATAAAGTTTTTTATTTCTAGAAAAATAAATTTTGTATTTTTGTTTTAAAGCTTTTGCCATAATTGTTATTTGTCTTTGTTTTAGATTTGTTAGTATTCGAAATAAAACGTCTCTAAAATAATCTTACCAACGTATGGTTCTTTTGTATCATATTTAAATGGTGCATCTCTTAAAAATCTTTCTCTAAGTTCTTGTTGTTTTTTTTCCATATCAATAATTTGATTACGAATATTAATAATTTGATTTGCTTGTAATGGTGCAATATATTGTTTCATTTTGATAGACATTTTTTTAATAATAATCCATTTTTCAGGTAATTCATCAAGCATTGCATAAATTGTTTGTGGTACTTCATATGCATATGATTTAAGTAATTCAATTATATCTTTTATTGGTTCAGCCATATCATCTGTATATTCTTGTCGAGAACGTACTTGACTTAAAAACGTCATCATTTCAATTAAACCTTTTAAATCATTAGATTTAACTTGACGTTGTAACATATTTGTTGCATATTTTATAAATAATTCTAATTCATTTAATGAAACAGTAACATGATCAATTAAATAATTTTTATATCTATTTCAAACGAAAAATTTTGATTAAAAAATTTAAAAAAAAAACACAATCCTTATGAAATTAAAAAGATAATATAAACGATATTACTAATAAAGACTTATTTAATAAATTAGTTTAAAATTAATGTTGTAGATGCTTGATATAGATGTGTAATGTAAACTTTTTTTGTATTCTATATCTTGATTGAGAAAATTTTTCTAAACCTAACTCTACCCTGAAGAAGCTTTACCATTATTTTATCATCCTGCACACCTGTAATTTATTACGCTATAAGTAAATCTTGACAGGACTCGAAAGAATTTTCTATAGAAGTAAAAATCTTATTCTTCTGAAGACAAGTCTATATCAAATAAGTTTTGTAAATATATAGTACTTCAGGGTGATCTGTACTCTACAAAATGATGTAAGAATGGAGATTTTTAGTTAATCCGCTAAAAAGTGGTAGAGCTGTGACGAACAGTCATTTTGCGTTGAAAAGGCGAAAATCGGAAAAACAGTCATTTTTCTTGCGATAGACTTTATAAAAGTCATTACTATAGCTCAACAGTTTGCAAAAAATTTGTCACCTTGCAGTGAATTATTTTTTGTACTACCAATATATTCGATAGAATTTCGTGGCATGCCTTGAACAAGTTCCATATGAAGTATTTTTACCTCGAAAAAAAATTTTTGAGACATTTCAAGATTTATTTTTAGCTCAATAGTCAAAAGTCACAGAAAAATTCTAAGCATATATTCTGTAAGAACACAAAATTCTGATACTAATACGCAAGTTTTCACACTTTTGTAATGCATTTTAATATACGAAAAATAGTCAAACATTTTGTCTAGAAACTTTCATAAAATAACTTAAATTGTTCGAAATAGAAGTGTAGCAAGCAAAGAATCTTTATTCATTACAGTTTAACTTGGCAAATTAATCTGTAAATATGTCGAACTTGTATCCAGGAATTTCCTATGGAAGTGCCCGTTGGCGAGAGTCTTTTGTTCACTTCACAAAAAGGTTTCTTCCTGTATCTGCTTCCAGATGTTTTTTCGTCACGGAGAATGCTCAGACACTTCCTCCAGCTACAACCTTCAAATGTGTTTAATGTCTTTTCTTAAGACAATGTGATCAATACTTTTAAAAAATAGACAATGGTGAAAAGAGAGCAACATTATATTGATGATTACCTAACTAAAGTTATCAACTATACTGCTTGGAATATTTAACACTGTATTCTACGTGCTCTGAACAATAATACTCCATCGAACAAACCAGCATCTAATTATCATAATGAGTACTGTAACCAAAGTGATGAATTTTTTTGATCGAAATTATTAGAAGAAAACTTTTAGAATAAATATGAAAAATAATTAATCATATCTACGTAATTATAACAATAAGTCCAAATAGTTGTTAGAGTAAAATATTGATTAACTCTATTTTATAGAATACTATTTCTCAACGACACTACTTTCGATTTATTCTGCGTAAACCAATATTATCTCAGAGCTTTTCTTATTTGCCTGTAAATTGATGTAGTTACTTCTCGTTTATTAATTTGTAACAATGTACAATAAAAAAGTTGTTGGTTTTTTCATAAGATGTGCCCTTCTATTCATTGTATTTTTATTATAATCAGTAGAACGATATGAAAACACGACACTGGCCCTTAGACATTTTTTAGTTTTAACTAAAAACCAGTAAGTATCACTTTCACGTATAGAAAACATCAAAAAAAAAGTGGATAGTATCTCAAGATTTTCATCATCGGGAATTGATTTTCACTGTAAAATATTTTCCATCAAAATTTAAACCTTACCCCCTCAGTTTTTTATTTGTTTTGAAATTTTCTCTCTGATCCCTCGTAGCTAAAATTTTACTAGAAAATATTTTAACATGAAAAATCGGGATCCTGAAAGTTGCACACACGATAAAAACAGAATGTGGGTGTGGCTGTGGCTGTACATGATGTGAATGCGGGGTTAGGGCTCATCGAGTTCGGGTCCAGAAATTTTTGGACCCAATGGACTCTTCTCACAAAGGATTCATCAATCAAGTTCGAATCCAAAATTTTGATTGACCGGGTCCAGGCCCAAAAATTTTTGAACCCGATGGGCTCTAATAGGCGTCAACTGCTTTCTTTTTTGAAGGTATATCGATACCGAATGGAGAGCAAAATCGTGCCTTATACTTCAGCATTCCTGTTTTTAAAAGCATTGAACTTACAAATTAATCCATTTATTAACAAGGATAAGTAATTGCCGTTTAATAGGTCGAGCATCAACTCTTAACCAACTATTAAAAAGAAATGTTTGATCCCAACTATCAATATTATTATATATTGATTGAAACAAATCGATTTGATTTTGAAATTGTATTAAACTTGGTGGTGTTTCTTTAATATGTTCACGATTTTCTAATTCATAATCTATTTTGAATTAAAATACGAATTTTTTTTTTCTATAATATATAAGAATAAAATTTTAACCTTCAAGTAAACGACCATAGAGAATAAATTGTCTCATATGTTCTTTTCTATCAACAAGCCATAAATACGAATAATCTTCAACTTCTTCTTTCCAATCGTTAGCTTCTTTCATTGTATCACGTAATCGTTCCATAATTTTTAATCGACAATCATTTAATTCTTTCATTTCTTCAAGATCATTCTATTTAATCATAATTATATATTTAAATTTCGTTTTTATTTTCTGTTAATATTCTTTTATTTACTTGATAATGTTTTTGTCCAGAATGTTCAGCCAGACGAGGAAGCATAGCAGCTTGTCGAAAAATATTACCTATTAATGTATCAACTATATCATAAAGACCATTAGCACTACCAAATTCAAGAGTTGGGTTAAAACGTAAATCAAGATCCTCAAGAGAAAAAAAAATAAGTTAAATTTTATAATAATTACATTTTCGAGAAATAATTACATCTAATATAAGTTGAACTTCAAAAAGTGGACGTTTATTAAGTGTTGGATCAGATTCTTCAAGTAGATAATTAAGATTATATTCAATAATTTCATAAAGTGATTCTATAACTATTTCATCAACATAATCAACATATGCTTTCCATATATCTGAATCAGCATCAGCTTTTAATAACCATTTATTTTGCTAAAGAAGAAAAAAAAAGAATCGGCTCGGTTGTTCGTTGAATAACTCGACAACACTGATGGCTATCAAGCTCGGGTTTTCGCCGTTAGAAAGAGTATGAGTAGGAGGTAAAAGTCAATCTGAGAATCAAAATACTTGAAAAGTTTTCTAGGGACTTCCAAGGGTTTTTTGGAAAATCACTGTTTGATTCTCTTGATTAGCTGTATATTCAATTGAGCCATATTGTAGCCCAATTTCTACTTTATAAACCTCAAAATTTTCAGGCGTTTTCAACCTTTCTTAGAAACGTATGACCATTTTTACTGAATTTGTCGACCTTTTTCTAGGTATTTATCAGAAAATGAAAATTACGGAATTTCGACCTGAAAAATTGCCCATAGATAGATCTAATAGCCCATCGAATATGCTAAAAGTTTTAGCCAAAACAAATGTTCCTTTCTCGATATATTGAATTTTCAATTTCCCTAATCAAACGAATCAGACAGTGATTTTACAAAAGCAATTCCTAGAAAACTTTTTAAGCATTTTAATCCTCAGGTATATTTCTACCCTCACTCATGCTCTTTCTAATGATGAAAACCCGACCCGAGCTCGATAGTTATTAGTATTGCCGAGTTATTCAACAAACAACCGAGTCCATTCTTTTTTGAAATGGGTAATAGCTCTCTAGTAGAACCGCATAAGTGAGATTTCTCTTATCATAATATCTCATTTTGTACAGAATTCAGTACTCTAAATAGTATTGAGCTGAAGCTGTTTCAAGACGCAAAGAGAGGACTGCGTCCAAATCGCTATTTGCTGTGTACAGACACAATTTTGAACGTTTTTACAAAATTTACTGACAGTTATTCAATCTTAATTGTGATTAGTTTCATAATGAATCAATGACTAAAACGTCTTGTATCAATAAAAAAAAAGAAGCTTTTGTTAATGAAAATAATTTAAGTAACACTGTTTGAATAGTTTCATTAAGTTCTTTTTTTGCAATTAAATTCTTGATAATTATTAATCTTACTTTAAGAATATCTTGTAAACGTAAACCAGCATCTCTTAATTCATTATTTCTCTTTAATACTCTATCTTCTTTTTCATAAACAATAAGTAATGGATCTTGTCGAGTTTCACCACGTGAAAATAATGCTGTTTTAAGAAAATATTTAAGAATTTTTTGCATATCATCTAGATTTGATTTGCTTTTAAAGAAACGTGCTTCAAAATCACTAATTGTTGTTCGAAGTCGACGAATAAAATCAATTGAATCTTAAAAAAAAGGACACACGTGCTATACTTCATCGAACAAGAAAACTTCATCATGTGATCATGGGTTATTTTTCGTCAGTTGTGATCATTTGAGTCAATTTTTCAAGAGAGAAAGTATCGGAAATATTGAAGCTTGAAGTTTGATGAAATTTCTGAAAGTTCACTGTTTTCGCCTCCCAGTGTCTCGATAAAATACTATAGTGGAATTTTTAACGAGAGTAGTTCATGATGAAAATGTTAGATTTTTTTAGTATCTTCTGTCTTGAGGTCTATATACAAAATGTCGAGTACTTGTGTGTCTGTTACCGAAACAAGGATCAAAGGTTAAATGTAAAAACCTACCCGTACAATGTTCACGAAAACTGGTTAATATAAATATAAGGGATTACATGAATTTCGACCCGTGACCTCATTGACCCCCAAAAATAAAAAAACCGAATTTTTTCTTAGTTAGTTGGTGGACATCGTAGTGCTGAGTAGGACTTCACAGTGGGTTTGGATGTCAAGGAAGAGAAGACTCAGAACCAGGCACCTGCACCCACACCCATTATGACGTCTCGCTGAGCACTACGATATCTAGCAACTAAAAAAAAATAGGTTTTTTATTTTAGGATCAATGAGGTCATGGACCAAAAGTTCGGTCTCTCAATATAAGAACAAATTTTGCTTTTTGACATAAGAAAATTTCCACTTTTGATATCTGAAGATAGAAAATATACTAAAAAAAATCTGATGTTTTAATCATGAAGTATTAAATTTATCTGTGCAAAGCTTGAACTCAAAAATCGATTTCGAAGATGATTTAAGAAGATCATGGTGTTTTTATTTTTGAAAAATTCGCTAAATTAGTCATAGCTCAAGTTCGTATCAGAAACGAGATTACTTCATGTTGTTTTGGAACCAAACCAAACTTAATCAAAAAAACCTAAAATCGAACCGATCCCATCTCTGATGCATATCTAGACGTGTAAGGCGGGGCATTGATCGGTGACGATGGCTAGTAACAGTTGAAACTCGGATGGCAGTCGCTGAAATTTTTTGATGAATTTAAAAAATAAGTTCCTTAATTGCGAGCAATTTTGAGAGTCAGAAATTTTTAAAAATCAAAGATTTGTTATTGTGTCGTTGCCACGACTCAGCCGATCGGCTGACATCTCTATACATATCTTTTAAGGTTTTCTCTTGTTTCAATACGATCTACCTAAGAAGGTAAGACATATCCTAAAACTGTTTTATTTGTTGACAAAATTTTCTCGTATGTTAATCTTGTTTAAACATACCTATATCGATATCGAATGTAACAACTGTACTTGCTTTTTCAAGATCATTTTCAATAATTGTTAATTCTTCACGAATTAATGGATATTCAATAATAAGAACATTATCATATATATGTCGATAAGATTTTGTAATATAATCTAAATAGAAAGTTGTTAGCACAATCGCTGAAGACACAAAAGTAGCTACTGTTGTTAAGCACAGAGAGATTGTCTTATTCTATATATTTTGGAACATATTTCTTCACCATCGTTTTACTTTATCTTTCAGAAATGCAATAAGAAAGTCGTTTGTATATTTTAACGAGGCTTTATTAATTATATGATCTATGACGCAGAGGGAAGCTGTAAATTTCTACTCTATACACTTCAATATTCCTTTTAGATGGGTGTTTGACAAAAGTATTCTATTTATTATTACCAAGATCGATAAATTGTTGTTGAAATCGATCTATTTGTTGATAGAATTCTTCAATTTCTGGTGAAAGAATTAAATTTGGTATTTGATAAAGACGCATAACTTCATGTAAAGCTGTAGCAAGCTTTAAGTAAAAAAAACAAACGTTTTTTTGTTTCTTTGAAGAAAATTGTTTTCTATCGTTACTTCTGATTTAATATTAACAATATAATATTCATTTTCTTTTCTAAGAAGTGGTTCATTTAAATGTAATAAATTTTCTTTTTGAAATAAATTAATCCATTGTTGATTGATATTTTCAATAAAATTATCAAGTTTTATTTGAATATTTTTTTCTTGTTCAACTATTCGTTTATAAATATCATTATCTTTAATACTAAAAATAAAAATTATATTACAAAAAAAAGAAAAGAAATAATTCACTTGATATCAATTATTTTTAAAGGTTCTATTTGATTATAAATACGTTGACGTAATTGTTCAATCCATCGATAATGAGAAATTAATTTTGGCATTGATAATAACCATATTGAATTTGAATCTTTAATATATTCATCAAATAATAACTGATCTTCATTTAATGCATTTTCAATTATATGCAAAAATGTATTTGTATATTCATTAATAACCTGTCTAAGTCGATTTCTTTGTAAAGTTGATCCAAAAATACGAAATAACTAAGAATAATAAAATAGAGATATTTAATAGAAAAATTTCAACAAACTCGATAAATATTATCAATATCAGTTGTTTTAATATGATTAGAACATGGTTGAAGAAAACGATGTAAAATATTAGCAATACGTTCATCACCAATAAAAATAATTTTACGAAATGTTTTATAAGTATTAGGAAAATCAATATTTAATTCATTTGTTATATCATTTGATAGACCTATATTGAATATGATTCATCGAAAAAAAATGAATAATGAAATTTTACCACGAAATATAGCATATGTTGATTTTAAATCTCCAATAACTTTTTGTAAAATATTTTGTAATTCATCAGCATCAATACCACCTAATTCAATTGATTCATATATAGAACATTCTTGTACAGTTAATAGAATATCCTAAATACATAATATTCATTTTATCGAAATGTTTTTAATAAACAAAATGGCTATAATAGACTACAAGAAGAAAATCTTCTATAACAAATAAACATTTATTTCGTATTCATTTGTATTTTATTTTGTAGAACTCACAAATATTTTTCAAAGAACAATAGTTGAGTGTAAGTTTTAAATCGAAATTTTCTCACTATTCTAGATTTTAGCAATGGAGAATGTTCCGAAATGAATGAGTACGATCCTTCTGCAATCGAAGCTAATAGGCATCACACTCTTTCCCCATAGTTCCTCAGCAACAGGAAAAGACACTGAATGACATTAGCAATAATAATTAGGTAATGTCTGGAGTATGTTTGTGTATGTTCTAAAGAGCTCAATTTCTGATTTTAACATAGATAAATAATTCTATGATAGATGTCAAGGATCATGGGTAGTGTCGGACTGACTGACTGACTAGCTACCAACAGTAGATTGCCGATCAGAAAAAACTATCAATACGTCGCGGTAGAATGGTGGTCAGAGGATCATGTAGAAAGTTCAAAAATCGATATTTTTGACGGCGAAGGGGCCTTAAATCAATGGTTAGAGTAATAATAATGTTAAATTAAGAAAAATAGAACATAAAAAAGTTAAAATAACAAACGAATAGTAACAATGTAAACAAAAAATAGAACATCAGTAAAAAACAATTCTGTTCAATATGCAGAAATGGATGAGACAGATCGCTTCTCTAGCGATCGATCATATCTCAAACGCAGCTATAATCTCTTTAGTTTTATCACTTTATATATTTTGTATTATTATAATAAGACTAAAGAATAATATATTTGATATTTGACGATTCATTTAAAAACTAACATAGTATCTTATGAGTTCCTCTATATCTGAAAACGTACAACATTGTAATGAATGTTTCATCATAACTAAAATTATCGCTTATTTTTATTTGCTTGGATTTTAAAGATTTATTCATATTATGAATTGTAAAATAATTTTAGAAATAGAAAAACTATTCTTACTTTAAGCATTTTAAGACGATCAACAAAATGATCAAATCGTTCAAAGATTTTTGACTCTGGTATTTCCCAATAAAGTATCTATAAAATAATGATTAACAAAGAAATTGTTAAAACGAAAGAAATCTTACTTGTCGATTTTCATTAAAATACGTTGGTAATAATTCCTTACGACGTTGATAAGATTTTTTATAGAGAAAACATGTTTCAAGCGCTAAATTAATCAATTGAATTGGTTCATCAAAATCTGTATCGACAAATAAATCATTTGGTTGAAGTAAATCACGAATCTAGAAAACCAACAATATAAACTGTACACAATACAAAACTTCAATGAATTTTTTTTTTCATTTATTAATATATGAGCTGATAGAACTTGGTCAGATAGTTCTGAATATATACATTTTATGTCAGTCATTTTTTCGTAGAAACAAGCTCAAAAAAATTGATAAAAACATTAATATAGAGAAAATCATTTTTTTTTCTAAAAAAAATTATTATAGTATTTGCTTAAATTTAAAACTAGTATCGTAAACAATGTTACTTTTATCAAGAATGGATCCAGTTTAGTTCGTAGTTATTTAAATCAATCTCGATCTCGTTGCAGTTCGGGTGTGCGTCTTATTCTAACAACCACATATTTTTCAATGGTGTTGCGATAATAAAAACTGCGGCATACGATATCATTTTTGCCTCTTTTTTCTATTTAAGGAGGCCCATAGAAAAAGTCAATATTGGTCAAGCTTGTCGATTTTATGATTTATAGCTTGTTTGATAGAGCAAAGTGTCTACTTTCGAATGCACTATAGTTTACTGATTTTGTGATGAGATTTAAGGATATTACATAGATCCTTCTGAACGTTCCACAGAAGAAAATAACGTTTTTTTTTTCTCAAAATAGGATTTTTGATTTTTATGGTTTCATGCATCCCAGATTTCTCTGCTATTTCAAGCGCTAGAAAGTTAGGCCTGGTGTCGAAATGAAGGCAAAAACTAGCTCTATAAATCAGCAGAGCCGAATTTTTCGATTTTTCCATTAATGTTTATAAAAAACTAACTGTTCTAGACTTATATACCTTGGATTTTTCATACTTCATCAGAGGAGTTTTCTAACAACACAAGTTAAGAGAAAATCGAAAAATTAGGCCCTATTAAGTTGTAGCGCCATATCTTGACTACATTTTAAAATTAGCCCGACCTTTCTAGCATTTGAAATAGCAGAGAAATTTGGGACGCATGGAAACTTAAATTTTGACCCACAGTCTTAAGCTAACTCTTTGTAGACTCAATCTATCGATCTGAAATTTTTACTGTGAGGTATTTAGCTCGAGATACACCTCCACTGGAAATTTTATCAAGAATGTATGCTCGGAAAAAAACGTTTCATCTTTTAGAGGAGCCCTCTTAAATGAGAAAACATTAGATGTTCTCAACAATAGAACAAACACTGACGAAACTAAATAACTACCTTTGCATCTGGAAATCTGATGATTTAAATCAGATATGACATTGAATCTTATCTTTTCTCACAAAAATCTATTAGGTAGATTTATAAAAAGAAAAAAGTCTATCAACATATGTTATTAACCTACATAAATGAATAGCGATTTATTTTTATGGTATTAATTTTAAATCTAAGCAAATAAATTTTTCTACTTAGTTTTGGATAATAAGTTAAATTAAAATATTTTTCAGAGAATTTAAAACAAACATTCTATAGAAGCTAAAGCAGCTTTTAGAGAAAAAAATGATTTTCTTCATATATGTAGTCTTGTCAATTATCTGAGCTCTTTGGTACGAAAAGAGTGACCTATATGAAACTTATACATCCAGAATCATCTGATCAAACTCTATCAAATCATATGTAAATAAATGAAAAATAAAATCTATTTGAATTTTGAACTATGCGCATCTAAATTTCTTTTTTTAAAATCATTTCAAAATCTTACTTTTAAAACAACAAGATTTGTCCATTGTTGTAAAAATCCAATAAAACGACCTATATTTGTATAATAAACTGAATTAGCCCAAACTAAAGCTAATGTATGAAATAATTGATCAAAATATAATGAAATTGTTTTAATATCTTGAACTTTTTCAATTAATTCAAGAATGGGTACAAGTGTTTTTAAATATAAAGCAATATTTTGTGCTTCAGCTAATGCTTGAATAACATCACGAAATATAGTACGAAATCTTGAAAAATAATTTGAACTTGAAATTTCAAGAACTTCAGCAAGACGTCGAACTAATGGTGAATGCATCTATTGATTTGATTTGATTTTTGTTTAAAAAAATAATCAATTAAAAATGTTGGACATACTTGTGTTTTAATTCCTTGTAAATTTTCTGCTCGATTTGTCCAAAATTCAATTTCAATATTTGGTAATATATAAGATTTATTTTTCGGTGGATCATGATCATAATTAATCGCCGTTTGAATTTGATTTTTCCAAGTTATTATAAGATTTTCTAATAAACGAATTTTTCGACCATCAAATGTTTTATTACTAATATATACACGAAAAAAATATATATATAGACATATTTATCATAAATGAAAATAAATTTCTTTAATAAATTATTCTTACTGACTAAGTACATGAAGATAATCTGATTTTGATAAAAATTCAATTTCATGTGGTATTGATAAGATTGTTTGACCTCGAAGTATTCCATTGATTATTGTTAATAAATTTGTTAATTCAGATATATTATCTATACAACTACGAAGAACAATATCAGGCCAATCGGATATTATTTTTTTTCGTTGTAATATTGGCCAAAGAATCTAATAAAATAGATGAATTAATTAAAATAATTAAATAAAATAAATATACTTCAGATATAAATAAACTTAATTGTGTAATAGATGAAGATGTAAATTCTGCAATAGCTATTTGTTTTTTTAATGGAATATCTTTTTCAATAATACTTTCATTTCGTTTAACAAAACAAATTATTTTCGATTTCAATTGAATTGGAAATTCAGTTAATATATTTAATGAATCAGAATTTTCAAATATAAGAATTATATTACGATCAGTTTTATCAAAAAATGATTCAATAAGTTTACGATTTATTTCATTATTTATAATTGCTAAAAATTAAAAGTAAAACTTTAAGATTTGAAACTTATCGAAAAAAAAAACACCTTTTTTAAATGCTATTGGTGTTGTACCATAAACAATATTGAGATAAGTAACAATAAAACGAAAACGTTGATCTTCCAATTCCATATCATCATTAACAATTTCAATTTCACCAATATCACTTGAAATTGAACTTCGTTCATTGACATTTTCATTCATTATTATTAACAATGAAAATGATTTAATAGCGCCTTTTTCTTAGAAATTTAATTTTGATGTTCTATTGCCAACATTTCTTCGTAAGAACCAATTATTATTTTTAACAATAAAATTTTTATATGTCTAAGTTTTCCTAAAATTGAAATTTATATAAATAGTTTAAATTGAGTTCATCCTGTAGCCATTATTTTTATATTTAATGAAATCTAAAGCAATATGCAGTATGAAAAACTCTGCAAGTTATAATAAAAATCTTATTTTATATATGCATGCAATCTTGATCATTTTTTGATAAACGGCTCATTTACATTTTGATTTCATCGATTGAAGACAATTCTATACATTGACAAAACGACAAGAAGCAGACGAACAAGAGGCAGAAATCGAAAGTCCATGTATCCAAAAAACCAAAGAATTATAGTGTGGTTAGGTGTATCTAAAAATGGTCTTATGTTTCCAGGCTCTGGATGATGATTTCATTTATCAATAAAACAACACCATGCCACATACACATCAAGAACCATTGAGATGGTCCCAGAGGAGTTTCATGCATTTTATAAACAATTCCAGATGATCACCAAGCAATCGTTATCTCAATGTTTTGAATTATTACATGTTGAATACTATTACCAATAATATGCAATGGGATAATGTTAAAAATTATGGTTCTTTAACCGATGAAATAAGAAAAGGAATTCGTTGTGTATCAAAAAATGACCTTGTTCACACAGAGTTTCGTCCATTTTGAAAACAAATGGTGCATATGATAGATAAGATTTTTTAATGTAATTTGCAGAGTCTGTCACGCTGCATCTTGTGATATACTTTGTTTATTTGAATAAAACGTACTAAGTGATAAAAAGCAAAAATACAAAAATCGGTCATTCATTACAGGTCACTCGTTATCAAATTTTTGGTTTCATCCAGTTCTTTTGTCTACGAGAAGAATGCTTCAACAAAGAATGTAAGTCAGATTTAAAAAAATATTCTAACACAGCGTTAGTGAAACAATTTTCAAGAAACAAAATAGTACTCATTGCTATCGACCGCGAGAAACAAATGTATTTCGCTTCAAAGAATAATTACAATATGGATGAAAAAAGCGTATCTGTAATGTCCTGGTTGTCTTAGATTCTCAGTAGGCCTATATTCTGATTCATCGTCTTGCAAGTTTATTCATAAAATTCGAGAAGAGTTTTGTGTATAGTGATATCTAATATGAAGTTTTTTAGTACCGATTCGATTATCTTCTTTTCTAATAGTTCGAATAAGTTTAGTATTTCGATTATTGACCTTGATCTTCATGTCGATCTATAGAAAACTTTTTTACATCAAAGCTTTGAAAAAATTCTTACATATTCGTCTTTTTATTTATTTAATCGATGCATGTGATTTTTTTGTTGGTCGTCTGCCTTAAATTTTATTTTGATGAATATGATTTAGAAGAGAATCCATTCGAAGTCATAAAATGTTTAGCTTAAATAATATTTTTCAGTTCCAGACGAGTTCTTTTCTTATAGTCCCACATATCTTTAGTTGCGTATCAACAATAGCCTAATAATTATGAAGAGAATGCTGTCTGAGAGATAGGTGTCGGTATATTGAAAAGCAAAAAAGTGACTAACTAGTTCGATAAGAATCACACAATAGTTACGAAAGTGTAAAAGATAATTGAATCAATCTTTACGAGATATATAAACAAACTTAATCATCGTTCACAGATTGTTTTTAGCAACTCAATCCTAAATATGATTATAGCAGTTGTTCTTATGCATTATATACTTCTTTGAACTTAGTATTTCAGATAATTTAATATTTTCATCAATAATAAAAGCACAGTAAGTAAATTGAAAAAAAAAAGTTTTCTATTCCTTTATAAAAGCTGTTGAAATCAATTATTGAATCTCAGCATGACATGCATTTTTTAATAACGGCGAATGCTATAGATTGTTAGAAGTAATAGATTTTGTTTTTTTCTTTCGTTTCATAGTATCTAATTCGAAATACTTAACATATTCAAACAAACTACTGGAAGTTTTATTGTTATTTTTTAATTAAAACAAAAATGTACTTTACCTGAAAAAAAAATGAAACGAAGCCTCATTCATTCGAGAACGTAACAGTGGCATTATCATGAATCGACAAAGCAATAAGATTGATCAAGTTACGAAAGAAATACATCGAAAACAAGAATAACTACGTTTACGGAAAAAAACAAGTAAGATTATTTTGTTATTTCATGTACAAGACATTTTCTTCTAGATTCTGAAATCCATTCAACTAAACCTATATCCATCATTTATTCAGAAGATAAAAATAATGAAAACAATGAATCTTCAGATTCAACAATATCTGTTTCAACTAGTATTCAACAATCAACAGTTCCAACACAAAAATTAATTGTTCATCAATACTATAATGTGTATGTAGGAATGTCCGATGAAGAATGGACGAAAGCACGAGATGCATTTATTGCTGCATATTTTAAAGAATAAAAAAAAATATATTGATAACTAGGATATACCAAAAGTGTTGAGATACACATTATATTATAATAAAGAAAGCTTGACGAAGAATTTCTATTTCTCTGTTGTCTTTTATACATATTTGTAGTAGTATGTAATAATGCTTTATATTGATCTATTCTATGATCATTATAAAATCACCATTATTATATAAAATATTCAACAGGAAGCTATGCATATAATTACTTTCGAGTAACTAAGGATTAGCACGACTCTAAATAAAAATAATATACAATAAGTAATTGAATAATAAAACTGCAAAATAATTAATTCTACTGTATTTGCATATATTTTGTTTTATAAATATAAGTAAATTCCGTCTCTAACAAGAAAAATATAGATGAAAATCTTTGAAATACATCAATAGTCTACAATAAAAGTTTGAATGCTTTATTTTAGTACAATTATGATGCGTTGTCCTGAGTATAAAGTTTTCTATGACTATGTGCACATGTGAATAGTTCATTATAAGATTAATGAGAGGTGATAAAAGCGTATTGCTATCAATGAAAAACTGTTCTATATTATCGATATTCCCGTAATATATTGTGAACTGGACGACACGGCTAAACACAAGAATCAATGACGTTGAATTATTTTCTGTTAAATTCATGCGATGGTTTATAATTTCGTGGCTTGATGATAGAAACAGGAAGCTCAGTTAGAAATGAAAAGGAACGAATAATACAAGCAGAGATCTCATAATCATAATGAACAATAAACATTCATCAATGTTAATGTCACATAAACATTTTTAAATAGACCCTCAGGAAAGTTGCTATTGATATGATACATAAAATTCATTTCGTATGGAAATGATTAGATGTGAAATCGAATCGGGATGTGGAGTGTAAGAATAAGATCCACAACCATAGCCACACTCATATCCACACCCTTATATTATTCTTACTCAAATCCTACACTCTATTTCTATTCGATACTGCCATAGCTCTTTTCAAAGAGACGGTACAATTGCAGCAAAAACAGTGGACAGCATGATAGGAATACGTAATCTAGCTATTTTTGTACATTACTTTTATTCTAGACGCAGAGCAATCTTCTAATAATAAATTGATATCTTTATTACACATCGATAGCTTTGATCGAGCAAATTGTTTATTGGCCATGTGCTTATCTTTGGAGGAAAAAAACCAAGCGAAGCAACTGAAGTCCAGGAAATCAATAAACATAGATCCAATCTCACTACTTCCACTTTTCAATAATAATGTGACCCTCTAGAAACATTTGTTCTCTGCTGATTCAATTGGTGTCCCATCCGTTCCTTGTCGGGTTCGCGTTTAGTGCTGTCATTTGCCTCTAATTAGGGTTCGATACCGTTCCTTATCACATATTACTCATCATATCGATATATCTGATACTCTTGACCTGAAAAGTGACCCATCGTCGGAAGTCATTCGCATTATTTGGTGTAACTCACCTTTTCCTATCGAAGATACAACCCAAGAATTGCGCAATGTCAATCGTGATCTTATATTTCTTAGTGACTGGTCCTCGTATGAGACAGTTGTAAAAAAGCTCCATTCTGAAGAATTTTAATCGATGTTTCTTATTCTTGCTGGAGCAGTGGTCAAACAGGTACTCACTCAAATCATACCGAAGACATACACAATCTTCATATTTGCTTCCAACAAGACAAACAACGTCGATTTAGTCAATCAGCCTGCTATTCACGTTGTCTCTAATTCTCTTTCCAAATTGATTGGATATGTCAAAATTGTTTCGAGTTCAGTCGAACATAGTTATTTCAACGGCAGTGAACAACAATCATTATGAAATCTCTCAAAAGAAACAGTCACTTTGTTGTAGTATCATCTCTTTCGAAACGTTATTCATCATCGGAACAAATTCAATCGGACGAAAAACGACATGATGACACGTTTTCATGAATACAATGACAATAGCACTGAGCAGCAGAATAAGTTGAACGAGTTTGCTAAGAGACTCAAGCCAGATTCTGCTCTATTCTCATACAGACAATCAGGTTTTATTTCTGATATTATCAACAAGACCATACATTCTTATGACATCGATGCTCTGCTCGATTTACGCTATTGGAATATCAAGTTTAATCGCAGAAAAAATAACGTCAAAACATCAAAAATCACACATTCTAAAATATTTTCTAGATTGATATATGGAAATACGAAGTGAAAAAGCTACAACCAGGTTCTAAGATTGGTCTTCATTGATAATACTATGTTAAAATTCGGCTCTTTGGAGTCATATTCTGAACCAATGAAGTTCTATGGGCAATAACGAAGCATACCGCGAGAATCAGCTCATCGAGCTCTACAAGTTGGCATATATCCCATTCAAAACTGAGACTCACATTTGGAGACCTTCTTTCATTAGTGAAAAAGCAGTTTTTGACCGCTAATCTCAGATTTCGCAGCCGATGATGCTCTGAAGGAGCTTGCATAGTTCAAATTCGACAAGATCACATTGTTTTAGCTA